CGAACATCTGATGGAAAGATGGTCTCTGGCCATGGCTGAAAGTATAGGGTACTCGTTTGCATGATTCTTCCACCATAAGTATATGTTGACAGTTGGTTTCTCGATTGGAGATCCCAAGTACAATGATAGCTCTGTCTGGGGCTGAGTCTTAATCTAATGGTACGATCAAGGTGTTAGTGATCGTGTTGCCACTACACACTTTGTGCTGGGTCCGCTCGGACAACTTAATTACCTTCTCTTGCATTACATCAGACCAAACAACGTTGATTTGCTGATCAAGAAGTTCTTCCTGTGGCTGAACGATTGGGTTCTTGCGATGATACCTCTCAAAGGTGTCGGTCAGCACCGTCTTGGCCTTCTCAAGATACACTCCCCAGTCATTAAAGAAGACCAACTTGAACGTAGGATTGAGCGCTGTTGATAAATAATAGAGGTCAGGTACCTCATCACTGTTCTTGTAATATTTCTGTTGAAGAGTATCTTGGTTAAACATGCTGCTGATAAACTTCGCCACCTGCATTGCATAGCTCACTTGATACACATACCTTCAAGATAGTGAGGGCAGGATCAGCTGCCTTCTTGACAATTTCTGGATACTTGTTGGCCTTCTTCTTTGATTGCATGGCCTCAAGATGATTGAACATGTACTCAAACATAGGATAGGCGATCGAGAGGTTGGCATTGGCATGTGACACTTCCAACGTGACTCTATAGAATGGCTGCAAGACCTCAAAGAGGGTGCGCGCAAGTTCCCATTCATCCTTGCCAAGAGCGTACTCAGCGTATTCCTTTTGAGTGAAGACCCTCTCGAGGGTTGCGCGAATCGCCAATGCTCTTTCAAGGACCAAGTACTGACTGTTCCATCGTGTTACAACTATCATCTTGGGTAGCTTGATCCTGTCTTTGTTTCCAAAAGGAATATAGTCACTGCATTAATCAAGTTAGCAATGCTGTGTAAGTGAGTGAATGATCCACGCATGAACTTACAACTTGTAGCTCTCTCTTCTCTGGGGTGAACCTCTGATTGCAACAGCGATGCCATGCAGCTTGGAAAGAACAGTGCATGCCTCCAAACCTTTGATGAACTCCTGGACAACAAGGTTGACGATGTGGGCGGTGCATCCAATGTGGGACTCCAAGCCTTTGTAGGGGAGCTTGCGGGCATCCAATATCTCTTTCAAGGACTTGGAGAAGGTGAAGTTGTTACTGGCATTGTCACTAATGGTAGCAAGGCATCTGTCAGTGATGCAGTACCTCTGTAGTGTCCTATAGAATGCATCTGCAATGTTGAGGCCTTGGGTGAATGAAAAGTTAGTAACATATTCTACCTCTGCTCATTGTATCTCTCCAGTGGAGAGTGCACTTGTTGCCCGATGATGATTGCAACAGGAGTGTGTTGTTGTTGCGGTTCGCTGTGCTTTGTTTCTGTTATTGTGTTACATACCAGAGTGTTTGCCATCAGAGGTTGTAATATCAATCTTGGTCATCGTAAGGAGCACATTCCTGGGCTTGAATGTAGCATCAATCCAATGACACGTGATACCAATGAATCCAAGACAATTACGAGATGTCCAGCCATCAAGACAGAACGAGAGCAATGAATTGTTCGATTTGAAGTGATTGATCAACTTGCTAACCGCTGCTCCAAACATGCTGGTGAGTCGGACTCTGACCGTGTCTGGCGATGGCAACGTTGCCAAAGGAGTATACAAGGCAGTATACATTTGGAAGCTGGGTTTCTCGACGAATGAGAAGGCTAGGTTGCAAGCAATGATCATAGTCATCAGGTAATGTCTATCATAGAGTTCATTATTATTAAATTGTTATGTTAGTTGGTTTCAGTGTCGACAATTAAGTAGGTAATGCTAGCAATCGATTGATACATACTCATAGTCTGTTTGATTGAATGTTGCTATTGCATTCTGGGCATTCGATAACTTCTGCTTCTTCTTTTCATTCTTCTCACAAATGACTCTGTCAACATTGTCCCAATCAATAAGACCTTTAGTCTCACTTCGGTGATCTGAACAGGATGTTAGACAATGAATCTTGGTAACTTTCAAACAGTTCGTAACATACGTATATCTAAGTGTCTCCACCCGTTGCTGGTTGATCTGCCAGACTTGTTAGAGTCGTACTCCTCGCTATGAGGGCAGTAGTGGCATTTAGCGAGTGCTGCGACACGGTCTAATGTGAAATGATCCCAAAAGCTTGAGTCATATTTGTTATCTCTTTTTTTTGGAGTTTTGGATGTTTGAGAAATGGASGTTGTTGACATTTATTCAAACAAAGTTATAGATATTATTTTTTTTTTTGATTGAATGATACAAGTAAGAATTAAAAAAAACATTTATATTCGACGAGGGTGTAGTCTTCCCGTGATGAGTCGTGGAATACACAATTATTCATTGTAATATAGATATTATCTGACCTATACTACCAAGATAAATAACTGAACTGTCACTTCAGTGAATTGTAATAGATACACCTGAATATTAACCTAATTAATGAATAGTTCAGTTACAGATCAAGGTTAATAACTATTCACCTGAACTTACGGAGCATTGGATACGATACAGAGATATCAACGGCTCAAATATCTCGTATCGCTGCAAAGGAAGGTCTCACCTATCGCAGTTTAAGCAGGAAGCACGATCTAAAGCAAGTAAACGCAGATCAAAGGCTCGAGTTCGCTATGGCTCATCCATAGATCGTTACCATGTCCAACAATGGGAGGATACTGTCGATGGCCTTCATCTGTACAATGTACAAATCGTGGTCA